AACTGTATATATATATATATATATATCTATAATAATAATTAAAAAACTTATTTTATATAAAGATAAAAAGATTATAAATAAATATTTGAATATTAAAACTTATTATTATAAAATTTATATATACTAAATATATTAAAAAATTAAAAAAAAATCCAATTATTAAATTAAAAACTCTAATAATTATTATTTAAAAAAAATTTTTTTTATTTATTAATAAATCTATTTTTTAATTTTTTAAAAATATAATAAAATATAGATATAAATATAAAAAATAATTTATTTTTTATATTTTTAAAAATTGTGAAAAACTTTTTTTATTGATTTTTTGACTATATAAAAAAGATATTTACAAGAAGTTTTTATACTTTCTTGCTAAGAAAATCTTAATACTTTCTTTAAAATAACTTGAAATATAACTTCAAAAATAATTTTTATCTTTTTTCTATTATTTACAAATCTCTTCACTCAAAAACTTAACTTCTAGTGATCAAGAAAAGTCAAGTAACATCTTTGATACTAATGATAAGAAAGTTTCAAAGGAAGAAAAACTTGTAAAGTATCTAAAATTCTTTTTAATTTTTGAAATGAGAAATTTATAGAGATTTTTTATAGTAAAAAGATTTATTTTCTTTTTTTTTTATTGTCTTGATCCTTTTAGAACTTCTACTTTCATGATTTTTTTGAAAAATTTTGTTTACCTCAGTTTGATTCTAAATTTTGGATAGCACAAATACTTATTATAGATAATTGGTTGATATGAAATATATTAGTTTTTGAAATATAAACAAACTCCTATTGATTACACTCAACATATTATTGGTAATATAGAAAAAAAAGTTCTAAAAAAAAATGTCTTTTCCAATTATATATGTTCAATCTTTAGAAAATAATTATAATATCAAAAGGCAAGTGATAAGTAGGAAAAAAAAGATTCAATTTTTATATCTTATTAAGTTTCTTAAGTAGTAAAAAGACTTTCTTGAACAAAAATTAAAATTTCTAAGCTTTTATTCTGATTAGACAAAGTTTTTAAAAAGATTTTTTTATTTTGATCAGGCAAACTCTTCTATAATATGATACTAACTTCAGTAGTATTAAGCAAATCCATATATTGTTAAAAGGATAAATTTTTCAAATATTTTTCTTAAAGTTACTTTCAGAAATAATTAAGTTTCTCAAATATTATGAAGCTTAAAAAATATTCCAATTAGACAAACCCCTTTTGAAAGGGAACTGTAAAATGAAGTAAGAATTTTTTAAAGAGCTTTGAATTGTATTTTTTTTTTCACCTCTTTCAAAACTATACTTTAGCAATTTATTGTTTTTCAAAATAATTAACAATAATAAACTGTTAACAATGATCCTAATAGTTAGTAAATTTAATCAAACTATTGGAAAAGTATAATATTATTCCTTAAATCTGATTTAAAGTATCTAGTTTAGACTTAATTTTGTTTAATTTAAATTAGCTTAGTAGATTTTTTATATTTTTTAAGCAGCATAGTCCTTCAACTAATAATATACAATGATAAGTTAATTACTTTGTGAAAGTTTATAAACATATTGATATCTTTCAATATTTCAATAAAAACACTCCATTGTGACATGATTATGAATTAAAAAAAAAATATATTTCTAAAAATTGTATTAAAATTTTTGCTTAAAATGATTTTTATAATTATATTTTTAAAGTTAAAAAATAATAGAATATAAAAATTTTTAGCAAGACAATAATTCAAAGCAAATAAATCATATCAAAAATTTCTTATTAAAAATATGCTAAAGATTATTAAATGATCTATAAATAAACCTAAATTGAATTTCCTTGAAAATCTCTAAAAGATTGTATATCAAAAATAATAAATTTGAAACAATTCATATTTGAAAAATAGCAAAACTCATTAGATTTTAATATAATTTGATAAATTCTATAAATTAGTATTATATACTGTATACTATATATAATAGAATTATTGATCTTGATCTTGATAATATAAAATAACTCTTTCTTTTAAAATTTAATTTTACCACATGAATAATCATGCATTTCTAACTTGTAATTAATATTAAGTTCTTGACTTCGTTCTGTCAAAATTTTGCGCGATTATAATCAATGGTTAACCAATATGATTCCGGATTTGAATGCACCATACTGTTAAATTCAATATGCATTGGTTATCGAAAACAAGTTTATTATACTTTGTTCTATGAACGTGCTCAAAATCTAAACTCGCTTTCAAGAAAGTGTATATCCACCCAGAACATCTGATTGTGCAATGGCCAGCAACAACGGATCGTCGAAAAACTAAAAAAAAAAATTTAATTAGCGATACAATCAGTCATAGGTTTATGGTAATTTACACACTTTTACATACTTTGTTGACTGAGACGTCCTCAGACAACCCTTTTCTTCTTCGAGTCTTGACCATAAAATCTCTTGCTAAATGTTGAGCCGGGCTGGGCTCTAAGGGGCGAAGAACTATACTTTTATCCAACGGATCACCGGGAACAATCTACGTATTTAGCAAAGTGTGATAATCTGCACATCAAATTTAAAGCCAGACATTAAATGCCTCGACGACGTACCTGCCAGTGGTCAAATATCTGTTGGCAAAATGCTTGACCCTGTGTATGAGTTCTCATGTCTGTTTCAAACCCATTGGCCTCTATAACAGGAATGTAAGCCTTAACCGTGTACAACGGTGATCCAGCTTTTGGTACATCTTGAGTTACATGCCCTCTGAGATAGGTTGACATTAGTAATTGACTGAAGGAAAGAGTGGATTCCAATTAATTGCAGCTACCTGCGTCGCGCAAGAACTGTGTATACCGCCGACACGCAGTCGGCCGGAGCCTGGATTTCAACGTAATACACAGGTTCCATCAATCTAGGTGTTGCCTGTTTAGGATAAAACGAAAGTTAAATGTCATTAAAAAGAAGGCAATAATATGACCGAAAGATGGAAAACTCACAGTGAGAAATGACGAATAGCAAACACGACGTGCAGTAGGAATTATCTGACCACCACCGCGGTATATAGGTTCTGGTGCTATAACGGAGTCCAATATTCTAAATTTCACATTACGTATTGCTGCAGAATAGAAAAAAATAGTTGAGACCTAAAATTTTACGTGGAAGTGTATATGATAAACTTACGTTCATCGCACAAAGGCCCCTCCCGTGTACCCCATTGAAAACCTTGACGTATTGAATCTTTGACACTGTTTAGTAAATTTTTATCCACCTAGTGTAAAAAAAGAAACGATCAATGAGAGCATGCCCTATTTGATTTATATTATTTATATTAACATGTTTAAAAAAATTTTTTTTTTTCCAACCTCGGTGGGAAGAGTGTCGTCGAGCAAAATGTTAGGTCCATTTTCGTCGGGCCCAAACGCCCATATTGATCGTGATGCTAAGGGATCCCACATATATTTTTCTTCAAATAGTTTTGCAATTTCTTTAACTGGCCATTTGATGTTCACTTTGCCAACTTCGATATCCTCAGCAATGCCCTTCTCCAAGGGCTCGGCTATCATGGTCAACTTATTTCTATATCAAGTGGAACGGGTAAGGATCATCGCTGTAAGACTATAAAGACAAAATGCTTACTTTTTGTTTGGGGTTTCTGCGAAACATTTTAGAGCAGAAGTTTCTACGACCGTTTCACAGAATCTAACAACAGGGTCAGAAACCTTGAGCTCAATCTCGGCGTACATCCTACGAAGATCATGCAAAACACAATCTAAATACAATTCTCCTGTACCAAGAATAATATGTTCGCCTGATTCCTCGACCTATCAAGTAATATGAATCGTGTTATTTTGATTTTTAAGTAAATATCAAGACAAATTAATACATATTATGAACTTTCTGGAGTTAGAATATGGACTGGAACATAAGGGATTACCTTCGTAATAAGAATGGCGTAGCTTTTATTGATTTTTCTTAACCCGTCCAACATTTTTGGTAATTCCGATGGATTCACCGGCTCCACGGCTACTTTGAGAACGGCCGTTGTGATAAAGGACAAAGGTCGAAATATATATTTGTCTTCTTCAGCGTCCTTATTTGTGATAGTCGCCGTTTTCACAATTGAATTATCGATCCCACCTAGAAGGACCCAATTGCCCGCGGGTGCGCCATCAACCTCTATTCTGTATCTATTATGGGCATGTATAAAACATTATTGAGGTGGAAAAATTTTAGACCAACACATGAATCGATCTATCTACCTAGATTCGAATATCCACACATTCGAGACATCTTGTATCGTCATGTCCTCTTCATCCTCAACCGAATAACCTTCACCAAGTACCCTCACAGCTTGACCTTTTCTAACAGTTCCACTCATTATTCGACCAAATGCATCAAACTTTGATACATCGGATGAATTGTATAGTTTAGTGATGTAGATCATCAATGGACCGTCAGAATCACATTCGCGCATTGCTTCAGCCACATTTGTGTCCATTGGCCCGGTATAAGTATGCTCCACCTAACGCAAGTATACCTGTTAAATGAGGTTTTTGAAACGGCGTACGAAAATCAAATATTAATTATACCTTGCTTATAGCATTTTTCTCTGGTGAAGGAATGTGCTGAACTACCATTTCAACAAAGCCAGTGGCTGGACCAAAAAATTGGTCCAAGACTATTCGTAATAGGGGTTTCACGTCCAGTTGAAAATGAGATGCCTTCAAATGAATGCCCATTGACGCCAATGTTCGTTTCAAGGTTGCCTCATTTTCACCTATAACCTAAAATTAAAAGTCCTAATTATAACTGTACATTCAAAAAGAGAAATAAATACAACAACCTTAAATAGACTGGATGATGACCATATAAATTTCGCTTTCTCTTAATTAATGTCACATCCGATATCGAAGGTTGGTGGCAATACTATCATAAATACAAAAACCAACCTGTGTATATAACTTAAATAATGGCTCCAAAATAAAATGCACAAACGACCGCTGACTTTTGCTTTCTAAGCTCTTTCTACTAAAAGTTCGTTTGACCGGGTTGAAGTATATGTCACCCCACAACCGTTTTGCAAATTCTTCGGCATTCAAACCACCTAACCAAGATAAGCGTGAGAATCAAGTTTACACACACTCGATATTTCAAATGAACGTCATATAAAATAACATAGCTTACTATATGAATCGGCATATAGCTTTGCAAAAGACTTTAGGGTGAAGCACCATCCCATCTGACTGGACGCAAAACAAACATTTCCGCGTTCAGGAGACACGCGGAGGTCCTGCCCTGGAGAACATTGGCTGACCAATGTGAACATAAGATCTGTTAATTTATTCTGCCTAATTTTTTTTTTTAATAAAAAAACACACCTAATGATAGTGTTAACATCTTCTATTGTATGCTTTAGCTTATAATATGCATCATTTGGAGGCAATTTCAGTTCCAAAATCAGCCTATCCACTTTATTAACCACCAGTGTAAACGCCAACTTTTCTTGAATAACGTGTTTTATAACACGCTCAGTATTGGCCATAACCTATTTGCGCCAAAAAAAAAAAAAAAAAAAAGAAAAAAATATTAACGCAAGAAGAATAACGCTAATATAGATGTAGAGAACATTATATCAAGTTGTACCCCTTCGATCGCGTCTACTATTATTACCGCGCCGTCTGACAGTCGAAGTGCCGCGGTAACTTCGTCCACAAAGTCGACGTGTCCTATAAAAAGATCAGTGTCATCCATTATACTTTGTCCCTGGTATAGCTTTCATGCGAAATTTTAAATACTCACCTGGAGTGTCCAATATATTAAAAAGATATGATTTTGGTTTTGTGTCTTGTAAAACGAGAGTCATCGGCATGGTCTTAATGCTAACGCCTCTATCTCTCTCGAGCGTATGGGTATCCGTATAACGCTCCTATGATTGAAATTATCATTATTTAAATAGAAATCAATTCCGCTAGTAACAATTAAATATGTACCTGTTTATCTACATCCCATGCGACGGATGAATGTGTCTCATTGACCAGCATGTCGACAAAGGAGGTTTTGCCATGGTGTAAATGACCTATGATGGCGATATTCCTAATTAATTCCGGAAAATTCATCATATCTACTAAGAACCTAACAAACACGCACAAGCATGTAACCAAAATTAATTAACCATCCGACTATTTAATGACATCGCAAACGTTGAATCTTACTCTTTCTTGAATCTTGTTTCCGGAAGACCTTTCTCTTGAATTTGAAATTTTTTAATCTTAATTGGTTGAATGATAGGTTCAGATAAAGGTTGAGTGTCCTCTTCCTGAACCAAAGTTTCTACTTCGGGCCCATAGATCTCCTCGGCGCTCGGGTAATATTTCTTATCCTCGTGAAGAACAACTTGGGTTTGAGGAATATCTGTAAGAAGTTAAGCCCAGCTATCAGTCGGATATAAGAACAGTAAAAAAGCAATAAGGAAAGGCGTGTAAGGTTAAGCTCGCGTCTCCAAAAAAAAAAAAAGTGAATTTGAAAAGGTGGAAATCAACGAGTTCAGGGGTGTCAGATCGAGAGATTGGAAAACACCTTCCCATGTGGCTATGATTAAGACTAACATTTCGGGAAAGAATTGAGAAAATTGTTTTTGCTGACCGTCTATCTCCATAAGTGCCATGCCCGGCACAGTTGTTTCTTCCGCTTCACCATTTTCATAATTGCTCTCAACTTCTTGCATGGATTGCTGAACTTCCTCCTCTTCCTCTTCCTCCTCGGATTCAGGTAGTTCCGGTCCAAGGTAGTTTCCAAATTCGTCATACAATGAATCATCCATCTTGGAACTTTTTTTTTATTGTGTCTGCAATTTTGCTTCAAGAAAAAAGCGTATATACGTGTTTTGGTTTTTTTTTTTTTTTTTTGGTAGCACAATTTGAATTCGTCACGTGATAAAAATAAATAAAAACTGCCTTTAGTAAAATCAAAAAAAAAAAAGTTTTCTTGGTCAACTTTATCTAAATGTCAATTAAGCACCAAACGAGTCCTCGGAACA